TGTCCATTGGCTATTTGAATTTCCTCTCTTGAAAAATATCTAAGTCCTTTGCCCATTTCTAAACTGGGTTGTTCGTTTTGTTGTTGAGTTTGTTGATCTTTTATGTATTCTGGTTATTAATCCTTTAACAGTTACATAGTTTGCAAATAATTTCTTCCATTCTGTTCGGTTGCCTCTTAATTTTCTTGAGTGTTTCTTTAGCAGTACAGAAGCTTCTCAATTGGATGTAATCCCATTTGTTAATTTAGGCTTTGATTGCCTGTGCCTCTGGGGTCTTTTCCAAGAACTCTGCCTATGCCAATGTCTTACAGGATTTCCCCAAAGTACTCTAATAATTTGATGGTATCAGGTCGTAGATTTAGGTCTTTAATCCATGTTGAGTGGCTTTTTGTGTAAAGTGTAGGGTAGGAGTCTTGTTTCATGCTTCTGCATGCACCATCTATTGAAGAGACTGTCCTTGCTCCAGAGATGGTTTTAGCTCCTTTGTCAAATATAATTTGAGTGTAGATACTTGGATTGATTTCTGGTGTTTCTATTCTGTTTCATTGGTCTATCCGTCTATTTTTGTACCAATACCAGGCTGTTTTGATTATAACTGCCTTGTAGTATGTCTTCAAATCTGGTATTGTGATTCTTCTGGTTTTGTTTTTGATGTATAAGTTTATTTTAGCTATTCGGGGTCTCTTGTGTTTCCATATGAATTTCAATCTGAAAAGAATGTCCTTGGTATTTTGATTGATAGTGCATTGAATCTGTAAATTGCTTTCTTTTTTTTTTTTACACATACCTATCTGGGAGAAAATAGTTTTGTTAAAAATTACAATGGCTTGCTAACATTTTTTAAAATCATTTTTAAGGAATACAAATGTTATAAGTACAACTTTATGAATATAGTTATTCCTCCCATCATATCAGCCCTCCCACCCACAACCCCACCCCTCCTCCTTCTCCCTTTGCCAGTCCCATTCTCCATTAAGATTCATTTTCAATTAACTTTATTCACACAAGACCAACTCTATATTTTTAACATTTAATATGATCACTTTAACAATTAACATGGCATTTTTACTACCAAGTTTAATGGGATTTGGAGTCCCTTGGCAAGTTTTAAACTGTACCCTTAGAAGTAATTCCATAGGAATATATGCAGAACTATACAGCTTTACAGTTGCAAATGTCCTCCTACCTCTCGTATTCTCACTCTTATTTTTTACTGAGATCTATTTTCAATTTATTTATTTATAATTGGAGATCCTCCTTAATTAATCTGGCATTTCTCTAGTGCACATTTCAGAATCTTTTCTTTATGTTTTACTGTGGAGTTTGATTATAATGTGTTGTTGTACAGATCTTTTCTGGTAATGTCTACTAGGAGTTCTGTGTGCTTCCCTTACTTGGATGTCCCTTTCTTTCTCCAAAGTAGGGAAGTTTTCTTTTATTATTTCACTTCCTTCCGTTGGTTCACTTCCCAAATGGCCGCAACAGCCAGAGCTGAGCCAATCTGAAGCCAGGAGCTAGGAGCTTCTTCCTGGTCTCTCACGCAGGTGCAGGGGCCCAAGAAATTTGGCCATCTTCTGCTTTCCCAGGCCACAGCAGAGAGCTGGATTGGAAGAGGAGCAGCTGGGACTAGAATCGGCGCCCATATGGGATGCCGGCACCACAGGCGGAAGATTAACCTATTGCGTCACAACACCGGCCCACTAGATTACTTTTAAAATCCATGAATTTCTGTATTTGTTTGAACTTCTTGAAGGGAACAGATTTTTTTTTCTCATATGTGTTATTTTAGTTGAGAAGCAGTCTTTCTGGTTTATGCTTCTGTTTTCCTATTTGAATTTGATAATGAGCTGCAGCTCAGTAAAATGCAGCTCTTAAAGAGATATAGGCAAGCAACTGCCTGACATCAGCTTTGGACATTTGGTGATTGTCATCTCCCAAAATCTGAAATTAAGAGAGGTGGAAACCAAAAGCTCTAGATAAGTATAGAAATGCCTTATATAAGCATTAATAAAAATAAATTTTGATCTTCAGCTGTAGATCACTTAATGTGATTTTGCTTTATTCAACTTATGCAAAAGATCACATTTGAAATTATAACATCATTTTTATGTAACTTACTTCTATTTAAACTACATGGACTTATTCCAGCCCTAGAATCTAATGTCACATTTGTTTGGTTGCCAAATAACCATTTTAAAACTAGAAACATACTGTTCTCAAAAGTCTTATATAATTTGGAGTAAGTTCCCTCCTAAACGTGGTAAAGAAACATTTTTTACTCAGTGTGTGCTTTTAGAAAATGTTTAAAATATTACACATTATTTGAATGTTTACCTTTTTTTTTTTTTTTTTTTTTTTTGGACTGGCAGAGTGGACAGTGAGAGAGAGAGACAGAGAGAAAGGTCTTCCTTTTGCCGTTGGTTCACCCTCCAATGGCCGCCGTGGCTGGCAAGCTGCGGCTGGCGCACCGTGCTGATCTGAAGGCAGGAGCCAGGTGCTCCTCCTGGTCTCCCATGAGGTGCAGGGCCCAAGCACTTGGGCCATCCTCCACTGCACTCCCAGGCCATAGCAGAGAGCTGGCCTGGAAGAGGGGCAACCGGGACAGAATCCGGCGCCCCGACCAGGACTAGAACCTGGTGTGCCAGCACCGCTAGGTGGAGGATTAGCCTATTGAGCCGTGGCGCCAGCCTGAATGTTTACCTTTATCCGTTGCTCTTTAACCAGCTAATTAATACCAGCTTTATTATAATCAGTAGTAAAAGAAATTTATGACAGATAAAACTTAGGATCTAATTTAAATTCAAATTCAATTGAATTTAAAATTTAGGATTAGCCATCATAGTCTGTCCTTTCTACATAATTCACTGTGTTGGTGTTGGTGTTCATTACCAAAGTATCTTCGGAGTTTTTGGAAAGCCCCATCCCAGGGCGGTTGCTTATATACTCTCCATTTAGAAGACTTTGCTTTGGGCTGTCAAGCTCTTCTTCCCCCATTATATACAATCATAAAAAAGAGGGAAAATGGAATTTCTAAAGTGCCAAAGGGTTTGCTCCCCAGCGTCGCCACTCACATACACCCCCAGTCAGAGCCTTTAGGGATATATGAACAATTATATAGGAGAGCTAGATGGACTGAGGGATCTTTACATGGTTTCTCCTTCTTGGAGTCTCTGTGAATTGCTTTTTGCCTTCTTCTATCTTCCATTTTTGTTTCTCTATTTTTTTTTACCTTTACATTTTCTTTCACCTATGCTTTTTTTTCCTCTGAAAGACTTCAAGTCAGAGAGGAATGAGGGGACTTTGTGAGAATCCTTCATGGGTAGCAAATGTTGACTCATGGATTTAGCAATGTAGTATATGTCAAAATATTTTATGAGAAATTATTTTGCTTAATTGTGGCATTACCATTTATATTATGCATGACTTACATTCATAATTTTCATGTGAAGTCTTTGATATCTCTTTTAGTTCTCCCATTTGTCAGCACACACAGAGACTTAGTTTAGTTTGATTATTAGAAAGGCAAATCAATGTATAATAAGAATGAGCCAACTTTTCCTACTGAAAATTCATAAGTTAGAAAAACCTAGTCAGTATTAGTTTTATCTGAAACAGCAGTAAGCTCTGATAAATCATGATTGGACTAGGCAGAAGTCATTTCATATTAGCAAACAAGAAAACTTTAGAAGTATTTTATTTTTGATTATCATGATGATGGTTATCTATATTTTAAAACAAGGTGACAATGAACGTGTAGGAGAGCCATACTCCACTGAGTTGTTCCTGACTCTACTAATATGCATTGTATACAGGATTGCAGCAACTGAGATGTTCACACTGTCTAGAACCTACAGGTGAAATAGCCTGGAACTGAGGATTAATCTTTTAATTTCCCTATAATTTTCATCAATGTATGGGTTTTGTTTCTTTGATCATATACCACTCTTTTCAGTGATTCATTTAGTTCACATCTTCTATGTAAATATTACTTTAAAAATAACTTAGGCATAAAGAAAAATGACATTGACTGGCTTATAAGTAAATGACTTTTCTAAGGTTCAAATGATAAAAGACATTTTGTCAGACTTTTCTTTCCTGTCAATTATTTTTATAAAATTTTCTATTTGCTCTACTAGTAGCATTAAGATATCATTTTTTAATTCTATAAATACATTATAGACTTGTAAAAATGGTCAAGATAATTGAACCACTTATAATGTGGGAAAGTTCATCCACTTGAATTTTATGTTGATTAAAAAATTTAATGAGGGGCCTGCGCCATGGTGTAATAGGCTAAGCCTCTGCCTGCAGTGCTGGCATCCCATACGGGCAACTGGTTCGTGGCCTGGCTGCTCCTCTTCAGATCTAGCTCTCTGCTAATGGCCTGGGAAAGCAGTGGAAGATGGCCCCAGTGCTTGGGTCCCTGCACCCAAGTGGGATACCCGGAGGAAGCTCCTGGTTCCTGGCTTCAGATCAACTAAGCTCAGGCCATTGCAGCCGTTTGGAGAATGAACCAGTAGATGGAAGACCTTTCTCTCTCTCCTTCTCTGTCTGTAACTCTACCTCTCAAATAAATAACCAAATTCTTTAAAAAAATTTAATGAATATTTACCACTTATGCACTCTGGATTACTCACCAAACAAAAATGAAACTTGGATCTTCCTTCAGTAAATATGTAATCTAGTGGAGGAGCAAGCTCATAAATAATAATTATAATACATTGTAAGCAGTTCTATATAATAGTTCGTATAAATGATATGAGGCAAAGATAAAGTAATGGTGATTTATTTCTACAAGAGAGCTGGTTAAGGAGAAGGGGTCATCTTTGATCTGACCTTTGAAGTAACTGGAATTTATAAGCTGGATAAGGTAGAAAATGACCTTCCTTATTGTAGGATAAGCAGAGAGGCCAATAATTTGCCCTAGTCTCAACTCCAAAATACTATCCATAGAGTCTGACATAAGCAATGTAAATAATATGTTTTATTTCTCATTTTAGGGCACTGGAATTGGCCATAAAATACAAAACACATGTTGATACAGTTCTTGCTTACCGTCAAAAGTTTTTGGAGACATTTGGTAAACAGGAAACTAATAAACGATACTTGCAGTATGCAGAAGGTGTAAGTATTATACACTATTTTATAATAATGCATATGCTATATAAATATTTGAAGTTTTGTTCTTAACAAGACAAAAAATGAATGATTCATACAATAATCTCTAAAAGAATTTTCTGCCTTATTGTATAAACTTATTTTGATTTTATGATTATAATATTAAATTTTTTTCAAAATTTCACAGCCATGATTTAACTCATAATATTCACTATGTATTAAGTGGGTACTATTTGATATTTTTAGGTAAGTAATGTAAATGGCTGAGATAGAAATATTCTAACTCCTGCATTTTGTCTTCTTCCAACTTCGCCTTTTACTACTGGGGAAATATGTAAGCACAGAAGGCACTGTCCAGAAAGTGCATACTTTATCATTGTAGAATTCTAGGGAGCTTGTTTGTGCCTCATAAAGGTACCTACCTAAATGTACTTGCTACATGTAAAAATTGAGCAGAATAAATAATAGACTAAAAGTAGCAGAAATTTCCAAAGTTGGATAATCAGAACAACATGGCTATCTTTGGTATTTTTTTTTCATTCTCAAACCATATAGATTGACTCTTATAGCATTATGTTCTATTTTCCTACTTTTTTTCTTCATAAATGTCATTTGGATGTTAACTAAAAATCATAAAACAGAACTTTAAGATGAAAATATTTTTTACTTAAAAATTTTCACTACTGAGATAAAATTTTACCTAAAACCATTGATTTCGAGGATACCTGCACTGCTTGCTGATCTTTTGGTTTCATGTAGGTCTATAATCCAGTCATGATCTGTCATCCATGCTTACCTCTCATTGCCAAAGTTGTGAATTTCAGAAGTAAGAATCAAATGAAGAAATGTCATTTAAAAATAACACTGAGAAATTTATTCTAGATGTTTGGTGAATACTGGTGGGTTCACAGTGTCTACTGTGTGAAAGTTTGTAAGTGAATGTAATCTACCCATAAGAGAAACTTAATATACATTCATGTTTATAAGTCATAAAATGTTATTTGGCATTTCTAATTAAAATATGGAAATCTGCCATTCATTCAAGGTATATTGTCTTCTAAGAGTTTTGTTATTTAGAGTCATTGTACTTGATCTACAGTGGTGCTCAGTAAATTCTTATAAAATACGTTATAAGTTTGGTAAATAAAATTCACTCAAGGAATAAACTCAGTCTTTTGTATATTACTCTGTGCAAGAAAAAAAGTAGAAAGTCTAGAAATTGCTTAGAACATTACACCAGGAGAAAAAAAAAAAAAAGCAGTGAAAAACATCAAACCCAGAAGCAGAACTTGAGAAAGTATTGAATTTTGAAGACGATCCAGAAGAGTCTGTAGGCATTGCTACTACTTGAACTGCATTGCACGTTTTCAGGCCTTATAATAGTAAGGAATTTTCAGGTAGTAACTCATTTTCTGGGAAATTATTTATCTTTTAAAATTTTATTTATTTGAAAGGCAGAGAGACAGAAATAGCCAGAGATCTCCCATCCATTGTTTACTACCCCTCCCCCACATGCCCAGAACAGCAGTTTGGGCCAGGCTAAAGCCAGGAGCCCAGAACTCACTCTGGGTCTTTCATATTGGTGGAAGGTACCCAACTACTTGAGCTATCACCTGCTGCCACTTAAGGGTGTTCATTAGCAGATAGCTGGAATCCCAGACACAGGCACTCAGACATGGGATACAGGCATCTGAAACAGTGTCTTAACCACTATGTCAAATGCCAGCCCATTTCTCTTTATTCATTCAATATTTATTGAATGCCTCCTGAAGACAGTGTTCTTTCCTTGGTTCCTGGTATATAAAAGTAAATGAGACAGACCCTGGCCCTGACATCAAGAAGTTTATATTTAAATGAGGTGACAGTTATATAGTTATTTATTAATTTCAATTGTGATAATTGCCTTGAAGGAGGTATACATGGTACCTTAAGATTTTGTTAATGGGGAGCTTGCCTCAGTGTGTGGTAGTTAGTGGAGACTTTCCCAAGCAAAGCAAATCATATTTGAGTTGAGCTGTAAAAGATGAATAGTAGAAATTGGCCGGCGCCGCGGCTCACTAGGCTAATCCTCCGCCTAGCGGCGCCGGCACACCGGGTTCTAGTCCCGGTTGGGGCACCGGATTCTGTCCCGGTTGCCCCTCTTCCAGGCCAGCCCTCTGCTGTGGCCAGGGAGTGCAGTGGAGGATGGCCCAGGTGCTTGGGCCCTGCACCCCATGGGAGACCAGGAAAAGCACCTGGCTCCTGGCTCCTGCCATCGGATCAGCGCGGTGTGCCGGCCGCAGCGCGCCGGCCGCGGCGGCCATTGGAGGGTGAACCAACGGCAAAGGAAGACCTTTCTCTCTGTCTCTCTCTCTCACTGTCCACTCTGCCTGTCAAAAAAATAAAAATAAAAATAAAAAAATAAAAAAAAAAGATGAATAGTAGAAATTAACTGGGGGTTGGGACAGGGTGGTGGGATACACCTGTTCTAGGCAAAGGAAAAGCTCTGAAGTAAGAAAGAATGAACACAACAGAGATTGACTAGAGGGTTTCATAGGGCAGATTAACCCATTAAATCACAAGTTTTCAATTCTGTATTTCAGTGAAATTGACACAGATGCAAAATTACCATAAGTAGTATATTTATTGCTCAGTTTAAGCTTTTCTAGGTGTCCTATATGTAAGAAGATAGGACATAATAATGGGAAGCCAACTAACATGATCACTTTTCCCTTTTAAAATCTTGATTCCTAGAAACAAATGAGAAATTTAAAATTTTCCAAAAAGTTTTCTTAAAATTTTGTTAAAGGAAATGATAGCAAGAGCAAATATTTGAGGTCTTGAAAGAATGAAGAGATGGCTGGCGCCGCGGCTCAATAGGCTAATCCTCCGCCTGCGGTGCCAGCACCCCAGGTTCTAGTCCCGGTCGGAGTGCCGGAGTCTGTCCAGATTGCTCCTCTTCCAGTCCAGCTCTCTGCTGTGGCCCGGGAGTGCAGTGGAGGATGGTCCTTGGGCCCTGCACCCGCATGGGAGACCAGGATAAGCACCTGGCTCCTGGCTTCGGATCAGCGTGGTGCGCCAGCCGCAGCTTGCCGGCCGCGGCGGCCATTGGAGGGTGAACCAACGAAAAAAGGAAGACCTTTCTCTCTTCTGTCTCTCTCACTGTCCACTCTGCCTGTCAAAAAAAAAAAAAAGAAAGAAAGAAAGAAAAAGAAAAGAAAAAAAGAAAGAAAGAAAGAATGGAAAGGAATCCTGAGTGACTGCCTTGCATCTTGGGTGATTGAAATACAGGTTAGAACAGGATATTGATGCATCTTAGTAATGTAATAAGAGAATGGATTAATAATAAAGGCAATAAGATTGGGAGATTTATGATCAAGAGAATGATTAGAAGATAACTTCAGATGTGAGAAATAGATTAGAGGTGAGGGTGGTAATTAGGAGATCAGTCAAGAAGTTGCTATAATAGACACACCGTGGAAAGGGTAAGACTCATGTAAGAAAATATGTCATAGGAGTCACTGCTGTGGTGTAGCCAGTAAAACCACTGCCTGTAGTGCCAGCATCCAATATGGGTATTGGTTCAAGTCCTGGCTGCTCCACTTCTGATCCAGATCTCTGCTATGGCCTGGGAAATCAGTAGAATGTGGCACTTGGGCCCCTACACTCAAGTGGGAGAAGAAGCTCTAGGCTCCTGGCTTTGGATCGGCCCAGCTCTGGCCATTGCAGAGGGTAGAAGACCTCTCTCTCTCTCTGCCTCTGCCTCTGCAACTTTGTCTGCCAAAGAAATAAATAAATATTTAAAAAAAAAAAGCAAAGAAAATATGCGCTAGTAAAAATAAGAGAACAGTTGTGGTTAGGAGTAGTAGAGGTGGAGAGGCAAGGTAAGACATTTGAAAATGACTTAAACATTTCTAGTGTGGACAACAGGTATATGGGGATGCCATTAATCTAGTTAAAGAATACATCAAAAAAGAAAAAAAGCCGGGCCTCCAGCCAGTACCTATAAGGGATGCTGACAGTACAGACAGCAGATTAATTTGCTGCACCACAATGCCAACCTGTTTAGTTAAAATTTTGTATAGTGGGAACATAGTTTTATTACACTGGTCTGGGTGAGAATGAGAGTCAGGAATGTGAAAAATGAAGAATCATAGCTTTCAAGGAGACAGAATAAACAGGCAAGGTCAGTGAGAAGGAGCCAATGAAGAGAAGGAAATGGAATGAGTAATACTTGAAGGCAAATGTCACAGTTGAGTTGAGAAGATGGATCAGGTACATATGTGAAGAAGGTGGCCTGAGGCAGAAGAGAAAGAGATAAACGTGGGTATTAATTTAAGTAAGTTTGTGAGTGCAAAGAAGGAAAACTAAAGGAATTCATGCTTGATGGCCACTACAGATGTCTCTGACTTACAATGGTTCAGCATAACTTTTTTGTCTTTATGGTCATGTGAAAGAAAGCAATATATACTTAGTAGAAACTGTGTTTTGAATTTTCATCTTTTTCTGGGATAGCAATTTGCAATATAGTATTCTCTCATACTGTTGGGCTGTGCCACTTGATCTTGAGGGTAAAAAAGATACTCTACAAGTGTACTCATATGCATAGATTTCCAAAATGTTTACACCAAAATAACTTACCTTTTAATTCCACTTTCCTACATACTTTTAAAATTATATACTTTCATGCCATGTTTTTAAGCTCTGACGTTTGGTAGGTTAAGTATAAAAGAATTAAATGCATTTTTGACTTAGGATATTTTTATCTTACAATGGATTTATTGGGATGTAACTCCATCTTAAGTCAAGGGATCATCTGTATATTCTCTATGAATTAGGAAGCTAATTTTCAGTTGGGAGTAGAGAGATGTGGTAATGGATGGAGAGTCTTTGGTATGATTTTGAGATTGCTCCTATGTGAATAAGAATTGACTGGGGATTAGAATAAAAACTGCCAAATAATATTGGCACTCGCTGTAATAGAAAAGGATAAGCCTTAACTTAAAAGTTACTTGACAGCTGTCAGAGAACATCATTACCTAAAACCTACTATTAAAATTATTCTAATTCAAGGACTAAATTATTTGTAGAGCACTGTTCTAAAACTGAATAAATGCCAAAGTGAGAGCAGAACACTTATTTTCAGTAGGATAGCTATCAACGGACACTCTCATTTGTTTCATAACAAATATAAATGTCATCAATTTACTTGACAGACTTCAGAGCAGCAGTTGTTCAGTTTACCATCAGTATATGATTTTATTGTGATTGATTTGAGAAACATATGTAAGTCAATTTAAAGCTGGAAGAAGGCCAAGACATTCATCAAGTTTTGCATTCCTCTCTGTAAGTGTTTTGTTAGACATGGAGATGAGTGTTTTACCATTTTAAAAATACCAAGTTTTGGCCTGATTGAAAAATTAGTCTTTCAAATAATTTAACATTTGTTCTGCTTTTCAATGAGCTGTTACTTGCATCCTAGCTAGACATTTATCTTCTAGCATAAAAGGAATTCTTCTGTTGCTTCATCTATTTTACATGTTACTGATAGGCATGTGAAATTGTTATTTTTTTAAAAGTTGACCAAAAATGCCCACAAGTTACTTCACAGAGATTTAGATACAGGAATTGCAATAAAAACCTAAATACTTAATTCCATCACAAAATAAAAGTCTAAAATCCTATTAAAGTTAAATTAATTTCTCACTTACTTAAATCTGTTCAAGCAGCAGTGTACATCAATAAGGTTTACTACTCACCTATTCCATACAACTCCCATGCATGGAAGTGAAAACCTCTTCATGTTTGGTTCAGTCACAGGAGTTTGTGTATATTTCTTAGTAAAGGAGAGTTGGTTTAATCCAGGATCCAAGTTTTCCATTGTCTTGACTCAGAGAGGACACACATTTTCTACATAAGTGATCTTTAAACTTTGTTAAGTGGTAGATTGTGTATTCCTAAAGAAATTACTCATGGAACTCAAGACAGAGTCCATTCCTAACATCAAATCTTATGAACGTAGGAGTACCGCTGGACTAGAAGAAGGAGGCTACGTCATATAGAAGAGAAGCAAATACAAAAATGTTGGCAATTTTGTTATTCTGCTTCCTCTGATGACTCTTCATCATTGTTTATTTTTTAAGATTCATTGTATTTATTTGAAAGGCAGGGAGACACAGAGAAAAAACAGATCTTGCATCCTTTGGTTCACTTCCCAAATGGTTGCAATGGTCAGGGCTGGGCCAGGCCGAGCCAGGAGCCTAGAATTCTACCTCCAAGGCCCCACATAGGGGCCAGGGTACCAAATACATGGACCATCTTCCACTGCTTTCCTGGGCACCTTAACAGGGAGCCAGATCAGAAGCACAACAGCACGACTGAAACCAGAACCCTGATATGGGATGCCAGCATTACAGACTGGGCTTAACCTGCTACACCAAAACACCAGCCCCTTCATCACTGTCATAATCACTGTGGTGTCTTTGGGTTACTTTAAGAGTTTTTGCAAAAATGTACTTTTTCAGAATATGCTCAGGGGAAGCTAATATAGCCCAATTTTTCCTCATAACTGGGCATCTCCAGGGAAACCTCAATATATAAGACATGAAGGTCTGGCCTATTCAAAACACGGCTTGGTGGCCAGTGCCCTGTCCATTTTTTCTCGTTTGGAGGAGAGCAGTCTACCTCTCTCCTGCCTTGTCCCTGAGCAATTGTGCAGAATCCAAAGGTTCCATGGGACTGTTTAGATGAGCATTTTTATAAACAGCTGCAAATAGATTTTGACCTTTTTTAAAGTTATTTGAAAGGCAGAGTTACAAAGAGAAAGGGAGAAACAAAGAAATAGAAACCTTCCATCTCCCTGCCTTTCAAATAAATAAAATCACGATGACTGGGGCTGGACCAGGCTGAAGCTGGGAGCCAGGAGCTTCCACATGTGTGCAATGACCCAAGCACTTGGGCCATCTTCTGCTGCTTTCCCAGGTACATTAGCAGGGAGCTAGATTGAAGTGGAGCAACCAAGACTTGAAGCAGCACCCTTATGGGATGCTGACCCCACAGGTGGCAACTTTATCGTAGCACCACAATGCTGGCCCTAAGATTAAACAAAAATATCTAATACTGTATAACCATGTTGTTTTCTTCTATTACAGCTCCAAATAGATTGGGACAAAATCAAAGCCAAAATTGAACTAGAAATTACTAAAGAACGAGAGCGATCATCAAGCGGCCAGGCCAACAAGACCATGGGTCTGAAACACTAAATGTCATGCTAACCTGTAAGAAGTTTTTGTCTTTTAAAATTAATTCTGATTAACCAAAGATAAGCATGTTTTTGTTGCTAAAGAAAAAGTCATAATCTGTAAATAAGAATAAGCACTTGCTGCAAATTTAATTCTGAAAGGACATTCAGAAAGATTAAGCACAAAATAACTTATGAAATTTCATCTTTTATATTTTTCTAGTTCAGTAATTAGCAAAATATTACTATATACTTGTAATATACCTATATAATGTTGATTACCCTCCAGTTTTTTTCCATTACTTTGTTCTTGAATAAATATTAATGCTGATAAAACATTGGACTCTTTAAAATGTTTGTTATCATTAATTTTCATTTGACCTCTATAAAGTGCCTCCAAAATTTTATGTATACAATAAAAATTTGTGAGGATGGCTCGTTAAAGTGTCTAACAATAGAATTACCTGTACACCAAAGTTCCTGACATCATTATTTGATTACAAAAGGGGGAAACAACTTAAATGTTCATCAACACATGAATGAATAAACCAATATGGTATGTACATGCAAGAGAATATTATTCAGCCTTACAAAAGAATGAAATTCTTATCTACACTATATACATAGATGAACCTTGAAAGCATTATGCTATATAAAATCAGCCAGACAAAAAGGTCAAATATTGTGTGATCCCACTTATATGAGGTACTTAAAACAGGAAGTTTCAGAGATACAAAGGAAAATAGTGGCTACCAGGGATCCAAGGGTGAGGAAAATGGACAGTAAATAGGTACAGAATTTCCATTTGGAATGAACAGTTCTAGAAATGGATAGTGTGATGGTGTACAACATTGTGAATCTTAATGCCACTGAATTGAACCCATAAAAATTGTTAAAATGGCAAATTTTTTTACATACAATTTTTAAGATACATCAAAAAGGGGAAAGAAATCTTTTCCTTATTTCTCTGTCTTCCTTATTTCTTGAGAATGTTTACATAATGGGTGCTGGAATCTGAATTTATGAAAATCTCCTTAGTGATTAAACCTCTTTGACTAGTCTTAATATAGTATGTCCCTAAGTTATTACCACAAAAATTTTTATTAATTTATTTTGAAAGTCAGAGAGAAAAGAAAGGGGGAAAGAAATAGAGAAGGAGATCCTCTATCCACTGGTTCACTCTCCAGATGACCACAACAGCCAGCACTGGGCCAGGCTGAAACCAGGAGCTTCTTCCAACTCTCCCACATGGGTAGCAGGGGACCAAACACTTGGGCCATCTTCTGCTGCTTTTTCTAGGCCATTAGCAGGAAGCTGTATTGGAAGTGGAGCAGCCGGGACACAAATCAGAACTTATATAGGATGCCAACATTGCAGGCAGTGACTTCACCTGCCATGCAGGATGCCAACTGCCACAAAAGTTTTTTAACAATAACACAAAGAAGGCCTTCCACAGGCCCATTTTCTGAAATGGTACATTACAGGGTAGGTTTAAGTGTATACTAGATGTCTTCAGAAAGTTCATGTAGATGCATACAATGCATACTATTATTTTGTTCCCAAATAAACATTTTAGAATATTTTTATTAAATGAATTTTGACAGACATATCAAAATTGTACATATTTATGGGGTAAAATGTGATATTTTGCTATATCTAAACATGATGTAATGTTCAATCAGAGTAAGTGTATTTATCCCTTCAAAAATTTAAAATTTGTAAGGGGTGAAAATATCCAAAGCCCTACCTTCTAATTTGTTCGTCCTTAAAAAAATTTACCATAATAAACATTTTTATAGTCATCATACTGTACAGTATCACTCTAGGACTTCTAACTACTATCCAACTGTAACCTAGTACCATCTATCAATCTTTCTCCTTCCCCATTCTCTTTCCAGCCTCTGGTAACCACTGTTACAGTTTAACTTCTGTAAGGTCATCTTTTTTTAGACTCTACATATTAGTGAGATTATATGATATTTGTCTTTCTGTGCTTGGCTTTCACTTAATATAATGACTTCCAATTCTATCCCTATTGTTAGAAATGACAAAAATTTCATCCTTTTTGTGCCTGAGTAGTATTCCATTGTACATATGTACCACTTTTTTTTTTTACCATTCATCAGTGAATGAACACAGATTGTTCCTGTTTCTTGCCTATTATGAATAGTGCTGCAATACATGAGAGTCATATATCTCTTTTTTTTTTAAGATTTATTTATTAATCTGAAAGTCAGAGTTACATAGAGAGAAGAGAGACAGAGAGAGAGAGAGAGGTCTTCCATCCCATGGTTCACTCCCCAATTGGCTGCAATGGCTGGAGCTGCGCCGATCCGAAGCCAGGAGCCAGGAGCTTCTTCCAGGTCTCCCACATGGGAGCAGGGGCCCAAGGCCTTGGGCCATCTTCTCCTGCTTTTCCAGGCCATCACAGAAAGCTGGATCAGAAATGGAGCAGCTGGGTCTTGAACCAGCGCCCACATGGGATGCTGACGCTTCAGTCCAGGGCGTTAACCCCCTGCGCCACAGCACTAGCCCTGGAGTCCAGATATCTCTTCAACAGTCTTATTTCATTTTCCTTGAATATTTATACCCAATAATGGGGATACTTGTTAATATGGCAGTTCTATTTTCAGTTTTTTGAGGAATGATCATACTGTTTTCCACAATGACTACTAATTTACATTCCTACCAACAGTGTGTAAGGGTTCCCTTTTTCCACATCCTCACTAATACTTATTGTGGGGAGCAATCCGGACTAGACTAAGTTACTGGAATTAAGACTTATTCTATGCATCTGCTCTCCCACAATATGGCGCTGGGAGAGAAGTAAACAGCTTCCGCACAGCTGCCTCCAGTTCAACTAATAAACTGTAGGACTTGCTCCTGATTGGAGGAGAGCAGCGTACTCGGCGTGTGGGCAGCCGAGTTGGGATTGGCGGAGGAGGACTATAAAGGAGGAGAGAGACGGCATGCACCAGGAACATCTATGGGGAACATCTAAGGGAACCCGTGCAGCCCCCCAGAGAGAACCGGCCGGCGGTGTGCCGCTCCCCTGTGGAAGTGGGGAATGCGGCCAGGGGGAACTGCCCTTCCACGGAGGTGGAAGGGATAGTAGCCAACCCGGGAAGAACCAGCAGCAAACCCGGGGAGGGCCGAGCAGACGAAAGAACAGCGCAGGGTCCTGTGTCGTTCCTCCACGAAGAGGGGGAGCGACACTTATCTTTTGTCTTTACTATATAGCCAATCTAACTATAGTGAGCTAGTATCTCACTGTAATTTTGATTTGTATTTCCTTGATCATTAGTGGTGTTGATAATTTTTTCATGTACCTATTGACCATTTGCATGTCTTCCTATGAGAAATGTCTGTTTAGCTCTACTGCTCATTTTTAAGTTGAACTTTTTTGTGTGTGATTTAGTTGAATTTCTCATATATTCTGGATATTAACCGCTAAGTCATATGTATAGCTTGCAAATATCTCATTCTGCGAATTGTTTTGTCACTGTTGTTTCCTTTGCTGTGCAAGTGCTCTTTAGTTTGATGAAATCCCATTGCCTACCTTTACTTTTATTTCCTGTGCTTTTGGGATTTAATCTAGAAAATTCTTGCCCATTCAGCCGGCACCGCGGCTCACTATGCTAATCCTCCACCTGTGGCGCCGGCACCCCGGGTTCTAGTCCTGGTCGGGGCACCGGATTCTGTCCCAGTTGCCCCTCTTCCAGGCCAGCTCTCTGCTGTGGCCCGGGAAGGCAGTGGAGGATGGCCCAAGAGCTTGGGCCCTGCACCCGCATGGGAGACCAGGAGGAAGCACCTGGCTCCTGGCTTCAGATGGGCGCAGCGCGCCAGCCGTAGCGGCCAATTGAGGGGTGAACCAACGGAAGGAAGACCTCTCTCTCTCTGTCTAACTCTGCCTGTCAAAAAAAATTTTTTAAAAATAAATAAAGCATAGCTTAGCTAGATATAGTATTCTTGGCTTGCAATATTTTTTCCTTCAGTACTGTAAAAGTTTAATCCTACCTCCTCTTCTCCCTCTTGACTTGTTGTCTGCTTTTAAAAAAAAGTTTTGTTTTTAGGTACAATGAAAGTTATAAAACACTAATTAAAGAAATCAAAGAGAGCACAATAAGGTAGAAAGAAATTCATGTTCTTAGATTGGAATAATTAATCTTATTAAAATGTCCATACTATCCAAGGTTATCTACAAATTCAAAGAATTCCTATCAAAATACCAACATTTTAGGAATAAGGAATATAGAATATAGAACTATGAAAAGTTATCACAAAATTCATATGGAACTACAAAAGGTCTCCAATACTCAAAGCATCCCTAGCAAGAACAATGCTGGAATCATTACAATATCTGAGTTCAAAACACTACAATACCATAAAACAAAACAGCATGATAGTGGTATAAAAATAGACACATATACCAGTGGAACAGAATAGAGAACCCCAAAATAAATCTATATTTATAGCCAATTGTCTTTTTTAAATATTTATTTTTTTGAAAAGCAGAATGACAGAGAGGAAGAGACTGTGAGAAAGAGATCTTCCATCTGCTGGTCCACTCCCACAAATGGTTGCAACAGCCAGGGTTGGCTGGGCAAAGCCAAGAGCTGGGAACTCCTTACAGGTCTCCTAAACACATGGCAAGGGCCCAGGTACTTAGACCATCATCTACTGCCTCCCCAGGCACATTAGTAGGGAGTTGGATTGGAAACAGAGGAGCCAGGACTCGAGGCACTCTGTTATGGGATGCTAATGTAGCAAGTGGCTGCTTAATTGCCTATGCCACAATGTTGGCCTCAACCAGTTGGCTTTGAATAAAAGCAGCAAATACACATGTTGGAGAAAGGAAAGTCTCTTCAAAAAATGCTGGAAATCCATGTATCCATATGCACAAGAAAGAAATTAGACCCTTATCTGTTACTATATAGAGAAAAAGCAGCTCAAAATAGGACAAAGACATAAATGCAAGACCCCAAACTTTCGTACTACTAAAGGAAAATATAGGGAGAATGGTTTATGACATTGGTCTGGGTCAAGTTTTTTGTTTTGTTTTGTTGTTTTTTTGATATGACCCCACAAGCCCAGGCAACAAAGACAAAATTGCTAAATATGATTATGTCAAACTAAAAACTTCTATATAACAACAAGTGAAGAGAAAACCTACAGAATAAGAGAAAATGCTTGCAAACTAGTCATCTTACAAGGGATTATTTTCCAGAATATGTAAGGAACTAAGAAAAAAAAAAAACAAGAAACAAATAATCTGAGACTGGCATTGTGGCACAGTGGGTATCACTGCTGCTTCTGACACTGGCTTCCCATATGGGTG